CTATATCAAATACATGCTGTGTCATTAGAACAGAGATTAGTCACAATTATGTACCTAATCCATGTTATCTGTATAATACACCACTATTGCTATTCTTTTAAATGCTAAAGGACAACAAAATATATGTAGGAAAGCTTCTCTAGCTTTCTCTGGGGACAAATTATTATAATATTTGCTCATGCTCAGAAAGTCAAAGGATTTGGACTTTGCATTAGCCCTTTGTTTAAAGGAAGGTTGTTTGCAATCTAAATATAAACTTAACTTCAGCACTTTCCATCTCTATTCATTGACTCATACTTGAGTCCATTTCTGTGATAAACATGCACAGCTAATAATCAATGGTATGGTGGCTGTGTGTACAGAACAAATAAGAAAAGAAACAAATATTCCGTGTCTATACTCACATATCCAAAACAGAATATCATGATGACCAAATATATGTGCTTTAAGGGAGAGTCCTTAAAGGTCATTTATATTAACTTTTTATACACTTCTATTAGACAAGAAAATCACCTTCCATTGCCACCATGCTTATTTATTTCAGCATATATACTTACTGCAAGCATTTGTTCTCAAACCTAGCTTTCATGTTCTCAAAATGTGAGATTTATGGAAGATTAAAATCACCTCTTTTTAATTTTCTTAACTGGGGTATGTGTGGGCCTTCTTTCCATAAAATCTTTCTCATCCTTTTTTTCATTTTCATCATCACTCTTACTCAGGGGAGCTGGGAAGTTGCAAGGTAGAGATTCTTGTTCTTCCTGCCCAGCCTGCACTGAAACTGCTCCAGACCATTTTGGCTCTTATGGCACGCAGTATCTGCTCTTTACCAAAACAGAGAATGCAGGTTCCTCTCAATAGTGAGAAAAAGCTCCTTATCCCATGACCAAGCAAAACAAAAAAAACCCCAAACCTGGGGTATTGCCTAAGTGAAGAATTACTGTGTGAGAGGTCCAGGGAGTTAGCAGGCTGAAAACTTGCACTGCATCTTCCAAAACTTATGACTCCTTCTGTGATTTGCCCTCCAAAAAGAACAAAATTTCCTATATTCAAATGATTTTTCAGCAGCAGTCATCCCACCTTTCAAGTTCTACCATGCCACCCCAAATGTGTGGGATTGCGAATCTGTTATTTCAAAACTCAAAAGCAGTAATTTGCACCTCTTTTGCTTTCTCCTCATCTTAAACATGCAAGAGTCTGTATGGAAAAGTTTGTATTTCTCTTTTGGGAGCACGTTTTTCTCTGCTGGGTTCATAAGACAGCCTGGCTGCAGTGGGTACACCTACTCCTGTCCCTCTGCCCAGACCTGCACCAGGGGCTCTGCCACACACCCACTGCCAGGTGGGAAAAGCACAGGAGGGCACACACAGACTGCTCATCTCAGACTCTCTTGGTTTGCTGGGAAAATCCAATGTCATCCTTAAAGAACAGCAGTTTCTATGAGATTCATACTGGCATAAAATATATTAAACACTTGGAGATTTTGAGTGCTACAGGACCTTCATCCAGCCCTCCTGCAGTAGAGCCTACCTCATGCCAGAGGAAAACCACAAGTCCCTGTAACCTCACATTTTCCTCTATATTTTCCCCACCTGCCTTCCTCATTTGAGTGATACTGCTGACTCTGAATAGCTCATTAAGACAATTAAGCCTGCTCTAGGTTGGAGTTCAGCATCACCCTAGCCAACTCTGCTACCATCAGCCTATCCCTAACAGTTCCCTCCTCCTCAAGTTTTCTGTTTCAGAGGCTGACTTCATCTCAGTTTTTTAAAACCAGACCTTTCTGTGCTTACAGTCACCTGGCAAATGGCAGGGCCTGGTCTTCACATATATTTTCTGAATGGCTGGCTAGCCCAAGAAGAATGATGATGATGATGATGATGATGATGATGATGATGATGATGATAATCTAATTATTCAGAGGAAGCTACACCCATCTCTTGGAGGCCAGGCAGCAATTTCAGCAGTGGCAGTCCTCCTGCACAAGTAAGCAGAATGCCATCTCTTCTGCAGAGCCCTAGTGAAGAGCCAGCCAGGCTCAACAAGACCTCGAGGACCTGAGCATATCAAAACTAGATTTTTATGCAGTGGCAGTGTCTACATTGCAGCTGTCAGCAGCACATAGCAGTTGCTGCAGCCAGTGCTGGACCTCCCAACTTTCAGCATCCCTTCTTTAGTCAGCCTGGCTCCCTCCCTGCCTCCTGCCGTCCTTCACACTCGAGGCAATTCAGCCAAGAGTGCAAGGGGAGACTTGGAGATTTACACCAAGGCATAAGGAAGTTGCCCTGTGGTGTAATTTCATTCTCTAAGGGAAATCTTGAAAGCACAGCTATAGCCCTCCCACATGTCAATTTGGCTGCAAGCAGGTTCTGAAAATCCATATACATGCACCAAAGTATAAAGACTCGGCCTCCAGCGATAAATCAGCCAGAGAGGAGGGGTCACCCTGTTAGGGTACCGCTCCTGAGGGGGAAATCGTCCTCCCTGCAGGGCCGTTTTGGGAGGCGGGGAGGAGAGTGTTGAGGCACTCCGAATGCAGCTCCCGGACTGCCGGGGATTCCTGCCGGGACGCGGGACCGCGGACGCTCGGGGGCTGTCAGGACACTCGGGGCCGGTCAGGACGCTCGGGGGCTGTCGGGACACTCAGGCACTGTCAGGACGCTCAGGGGCTGTCAGGACGCTCGGGGCCTGTCCGGACGCTCAGGGGCTGTCCGGACACTCGGGGCCTGTCCGGACACTCGGGGCCTGTCCGGACACTCGGGGGCTGTCAGGACACTCGGAGGCTGTCGGGACACTCGGGGCCTGACAGGAAGCTCAGGGCCTGTCCGGACGCTCGGGGCCTGTCAGGAAGCTCAGGGCCTGTCCGGACGCTCAGGGGCTGTCCGGACGTTCGGGGCTGTCGGGACACTCGGGGGTTGTCCGGACGCTCAGGGCCTGTCAGGAAGCTCAGGGCCTGTCCGGACGCTCAGGGGCTGTCCGGACACTCGGGGCCTGTCCGGACACTCGGGGCCTGTCCGGTGGCCGCCCCCGCGGGCAGAGGCGCAGCGGGGCTGTGGAGGTGCGGTCGGCCCGCGAACAGCGGGGGCTGACAGGACACAGGCACATGGTACAACCTGTCACGCTGCTGGGACACAGCTCTGACGGGTTTGTCTGACCGGCTCCCACAGGGAACCAGGGCACTCCTTGCTTGCCGTGCCAGCCTGAAATTCCCGTGCCATGGGAAGCAAGGGACAGATCCTGCCAGATGCCCAGCTGTGCTTGCAGCAGGTCCGCAGGGGTGTTTCGTTTCGACTCGGATCATTTGAGGCAGAATTCCGTGATTGATGTTCACGCTTTGGGGATTAAAGAAGAGGGAAACGACCGGTAATCTCGAATGATCGTAGAAAACCGTAGCGTTTCTGGAGCTAAAACCACTCCAGCATGCTAGTTGCCTTAGGGCTCCTTTTTTCTTAGCATTACAATGCACAAACTTCTGTCTTTGCTGCTCCCCGTTCACCCAAAGCAGGTGCTTGGACTTAACTGGGAAGCATAAACCGCAAAAAATACAGAGAGGGACTGGTATAGGGGAAATGGACATAAAAATGTGCAGAATAGCTAGAGCAGAAGTGATAACATCTCTGCTGATACTCATCCTTTCTGAGGAAATGACATCCCATACCAAATAAAATTAAATAAATTTGCTTTAAAGGGGAATTGCAGTTTGTTGACTATAGCAGGGTGCTGACCCAAATGTCTATTTTTTCATGCAGGTACAATGTCCCATCTTAGAGCACGACGCCCATTATCACCTTACATACCAAAGGGATTACACCCTAGAAGTGCAGGTGCTGTGACCTGCAACTCCTTTCCCACTCCACCAGAGCCATGGTCGAGCCACTTCATTTTGGGAAGCACTCCTTAAACTGGGCTACCAAACCACTTGCCACCTGTGCACGCACCAAAGCCATGATGGCAAGATCATGATGCTGCCATAATTTCTTTTAGGAAAGGGGAGGGTTGTGCCTCTCAGATGCTTCCAATACCTACTTTTGTCTCCAGGGAGAGAAAAGAAGAAGAAGAAGAAGAAGAAGAAGAAGAAAAAAAAGGCAGCAGAACAGAGGAATATTCAGTCCCAAGGATCAACGAAGGACCGCCGGCCACACTGGTCCTACGATGCTAATGAAGTATCAGTGCTGCCGGCAACAGCTACTGCCGTGTCCAGAGGGGATAGTAATAACTACCATGAAAACACTTAAAAATTGCCCAGCCGAGCTTCCCTTCCCTCACTGGGCCTCTGTGTTTCAGTACAAGCAGGATAGCTAGGGCACAACCTAGCCGTTCCAAAATGCTGGGAGATGTATTGAGATGTATGGTATCTCAGCACTTACTCTGATTTTTTTTCCCTCTTTAATTTTAATTTTTTTTTAAGTTCAATTGACCCTTCTGGTCACCAACTTTCTTTGTGGTTCACTGTAAGGATCGCTCTCCAAGAACAAAAAAGAAATCTCCGAGCTTTGATAGAGACTCTGGATGAAATTAAGAACTTCAAACCCCAGATTTTTGAAAAGAAAAACAGATGTCCTGTTTGTTGAGTATAAATAACTCCGTACGTGGAAGCCTTTTCTTTTACGCTGCATTAAATTTTATTTAATGCTGGGTGCATTTAAACTAAAAAAAAAAAAAAAAAAAAAAAAAGGAGGGGGGCAGCAAAATATGTGGGTGACAAACCTCTAAATCTTTTCCTCTCTCGAAAGAGAAAGAAACAGGCAGACGGGAAACCCTTCATCTGGATGAAAGCGCTCAATGTGTTTCCTAGCAGACCTGGCGAGCCTGCCCTGGTCAGTGCGGCGGCGAGGGGAGGGGGGAATGGAGGCGGTGGCAGGGAAGGACGGGCGGAGGGAGGGAAGGAGGGAGGGAGGAGCGGCCCCGGGCCGGGCAGAGCGGGGCGCGCCCGCAGGTGCCCGCCCGGTGCTGGGTCCCGGCCGGCCCCCGCCGCTCGGAGCGGCCCCAGGCTGACTCACGTGAGCACGTAGTTGACGCTGACGATGCAGTGCGGGCGGGAGGAGCGGCTGTTGTGCACGATGGTGGCGTAGCTCTGCACCCACACCCAGCCGCCGTGCTTGGCCAAGAAGCGGTAGTACTTGGTGGTCACTTGCCCTTTCACCAGCACTGCGGGGACAAAGCGAGGAGAGCCTCAGCGTGGCTCCCGCCTCTGGTTTGATAAGCCCCGGGAAGAAGCGCACACTCCTCCCGGAGCCCTGTGAGCGACCAGAGGGGTTAGGACCCTCTTAGCCAGAGGGGTTAGGAATCTCTCAGCGGCACATGAGGACAAGGGTGGTGGAGCCCCCAGGCAGGGCTTATCTCAGTACCTGAGATCGTTATCACAGGCTAACAGGGGAGATTGGTAGGGCCGAGGTGTGCGTGTGTGTGTGTGTGTGTGTGTGTGCGGTCGGCTACGGCAACCGAACCCCGCACACCCCTATCCTGAAGTATCACCATCGAGATTTTGTTCTATAAATCTGTCTGGGTTTTATCTCTTCTCGTTATGCTCTCTGTAAGGAAACTTACCGGAAATCGGTATCCTTTCTATTCATCTATCCGTGTATTAATGTCATCGAGATATCAAAATAGAATAAAGTACATCTCGCCAAATCAGGCTCACTACTGCAGTCGAAATTAGATATGCAGATAAGGTTTGTGAGACTTGGTGGAAGTGAAATAAAAGTACTGATATTTCACTGGTATGGCTTTTTAGAGCAGGAAAAAGGGTTTTCCTAACTCAAATTTGAAGAGACAATAGCGCCTGAGATTTGTGCAGGGCAGTTCTTGTCCTACAACCAAAAGAAAAGGATGGAAAATTCCCAATCCCCTCCGTTTGCCACCTGCGTCCAGAGTTCAGTCTCTATCTAACCTTGTTTCACTAAAACCTGAAGAAGATTTTGCTTATTCTGCCCTCCAGAGAGCTGGCTTTTCACGTGCCGACCTAGAGGTAAATCCCAGCAACCCCAAAGTCCTTCTGCAAAGGGACAGGATGGGAGTGGGGTTTTAAACAAGAAGACCATCTCCTTACACAAGTGATGTGCGCAACGCAGGTGAAAGGTGTCACAACCATGGACATGATGGTAAAGGGTCTTCTCTATCAGGTCCTGGGGCTCGTAACCTGTTAGCTCAGCTACCCTGCAAGAGACATAAGCAGCAAATATAAGTGGGTGAGAGGACAGGAGAGGAGGCCTGGGGAAGAAGGGACGGGCTAGGGGAATAGATTTGGAAACAACGCCAGCTCTACCTGGAATCTAAGAATATGAGCTTCATGTCTAGGCTGGCCCGAAACATGAACATATTGCTGTGGAGCTTGATCTCCGTCACGGCGCTGGGCGGCAGCGAGTGGCCCACGGCGACCAAGCCAACGTTTTGGTAGCAGCCGTCGAAGGGAGACATGTCCAGGCTGTACTGGCGGATCTTCAGGTACCCGCTGCAGTGAATCACCTGCCGGAGACACAGGAAAGCTTGGCGGCTACTCAGCAGGGGGGAAGGGTGTGCTGAGTCCCTCCCCATGAAGAGGGCCCGGACGATTCCCCCCATCCCGGTGCGGTGCGGCTGCGGGGCTCGCGGGAGCCGCTGACCTGCGTCTCTGCCCTGGCAAAGTGGCACCGTTTGGGAGTTTTCTGTCCGGGATGATTTTTTTTCCCATACTAGAGTTCAGCGTCGATCTAAGGCCCATTAGAGTCAACAAGATTTTTTTTTTTCCACTGGCCTAAGTGGTTTTTGGCTCACCTCCTAACTGCGCTTTTATTATTCTTCTGAAAAGGAAAGACGCGGAACTGCCAATCCAGTTACGACTTTGTAATGAAGAGTGTATGCGCGTGAGAAAGGGTTTACATGTGTGCATATGTCACATGTGTAGGATGCGTCTGTTATATGGATGGAGCAGGCGCAATCCATCGCCAAAAAGCACCTTTGATTTAAGTGTATCTCCTAAACGTATCCTTGCAGACAACTGCTGTCCACTTCCACTCTTCTCTATTATTAAGAAGTTTCTTCTTGGGGTTCAGCAGGTGTTCTTAGTCTACGGTATATCGTGACACGACATCTCCTTGGGTTATGGGTACAACCCCCTCCTCGGCGTTGTGTGGCTGACAAAGCAGCGAGGAGTTAAGAGACAGCGTGGGGCTCTCCTTACCGAGGAGCCCCGAGCAGAACCGCGTGAAGCACCTGGTCAAAACCCTTGACTGGGAGAGCTACCTCTGCAGCTGATGAATTACCTAAGTAAGAAATAAATTAACCGGGGCTCCGGTTTTATCCTGAAAGCTGTCACTGAGAGCATCAGAGGTTGTGCGAGGTTCAGTTCAAACAGTAAAATAATAATAATAATAATAATAATAATAATAATAATAATAATAATAATAATAATAATAAAAGATAAAAAAAGCCCACAGACAAACATCAAGGGGAGCTCGATTGCATGGTTTTGGTTTTGTGGTTTGAGCTCTTCAACCTGAAACTCTGAGAGAAATGGACCACATGAAAGAGTCCTGGGCTGAGAAAGCCCTCGCGAGAAGAGGTCTCACCCCCTCTCTCTCCCCATTTTCACAGCCTTCCCGGCACAGGGACACGGGCAGGCTCGTGCGGGGGGGAACGGGGAATCTGGCCGCGGGCACGCACCTTGTAGCCACCGCAGGTGAGGCCCGCATTCCTCTTGGCCAGGACGCACTTCATCCTCAGGAAAAAGGATCTCTCGATCTCGTACTCTGGGAAGGGGGAAAGGCAGAGGTGGGGTGAGCCAGGGGCTCCGCTGGCTCTGCGCGGTTCCCTACGCGGCCGCGGCGGCCCGGCGGGGGCGGGGGCTGTGTGCTTTACCCTGCACGAAGTGCGAGTGGTAAGGCTGGTGCGCCGTCAGCACCGCCGTCATCTCGTCATGGTCGGCGGGGTGGATGTACTCGTAAATGCTGTTGCCGGTCAGCTCTACCTGTGAGAGAGGAGGAGGAGGAGTAGGGGGGCTCATGGCCGGCACCGCGCACCCTCTCCTGTCAGTCGCGGGGGTGGTACAGGCAAGCACAGGGGCTAGCAGGCCCCCCAGAGTACCTGCGACAAGCCCAGGTGCACCGAGGCAGTCTCCGAGATGTACATGATCTTGCCATCCGGAGCCACAACAAATATGAAACCATCCAACGTCTGCAGAAAAGGGTAGGGAATATAATTAAATTAATAGATAGACCCACTATATACCTGTCCCTCTGATTTATTTTAGCAAACAGGCGTCGATGTTCAGGCTCTGATTATTCAAAATGTTGGAAGGAAATGGGCAAATCTTGGACAATAATCCCTCTAAACCTCCTGGATCCCTGAGATACAACCCACTTCTCAGAGGGGCCGAGCTCAAAAGTAACGCCTTGAAAGTGCCTTGAAAGTATCTAAGAAGAGGTCCTGGCTATCTGGTGATTAATATGTGGGTCCCAGAAATCCCAAATACCTCTATCCTATTTAAAATGTCATGGGGGTTTAGTGCTTGCCTATTTTATATGGAGAATTTAGGCGATGAATGAGTGTTTGAAACTCTCCACAGTGTAAATGAGACAATTTGTCAGGTACATTTCAGCAGACACAGACGGGACTTCTGGGTGTAGCAAGAACAGAATAGGCCCTCCAAAGGCCACACGATTCCACCAGAAATACGTGGTGATGGTCATCACTAGTGTTCTTTAGTATTTCAGAGCGTTGTGAGTTTTCAGATCTGTCCTCCCTGATTTGTGTCTCTGCTAATGTCGGTGCCCGCTGAGCCCTTCTGTCCCGGACAGCCGTCCCTAACCTGCCGCTTGAGCCTCTCCCTGCCACACCACCCTGAGCTTCACAACATTGATGATATGTGTCACCTTGTTAATAAATTGAGGAAAAGTCGTGCTCCTGTGTCTCTGGCACCCTGAGACACACTGTAAATCCCTCTCTGTGGACGCAGTGTTAGATGATTCTGAGGCAAAGGACTCAGAGGGACCAAGCCAACAATGAAATACACGACACTGAATCACAGTGGTTCACATTTCTGAAGTGGTTCCCCTCCTGCCTACCTTTCTATTAAACACTTGAACGGTTAAAAATTAGTCAAGGTGGCAATTGAAAGCTCAGAAGAGGGAATTATTTCTTTAATCATTAATACCATATGCCTGTCGTTTCCAGACCAGTACCTGCAAAAGATGGGATCCCAGTTCCCGTCCAACATTATCCAGTGGGCTGGTTCGACTGGAGTGGCCCCAGGCTTCTCCAAGTCCTATTATTTAAGACAAACAAAACGGAAAAGTAACATGAGGAGATGAAAAATTGACTCGTGTGGGCCTGATTTTGGGGGGGGGGGGGGTAGTGTGGAACATTTTTTCCTTGTCTACACTCTAAAACATATATTCATACAATCTTTGGAAAACTAGATGTGACTTCGTTGCACATAAAAGCCTCATTTGTGGGTGGTGGTGGTTTTTTTTGTTGTTTTTTTGTTTGGTTTTTTTTTTTTTTTTTTTTTAAATATCTAATTCCTCAGAGAGAAAAATACCCGAATACTTATTTTGAGTTAACGGTGAAGTTAATTTTTAAGACCTAAGTGTAACAGCATGCCAGATCCAAGTGCTTTTCAGTGCTGCTTTCGGCTGCTGGGAACTGTCCCACTTGAACTTGAGGGGAAGCGTCCTAATCTCACGATTTCTCGTCACTGTCCAACGGCACGGACCGCCCTCCCTCCTGCCCCACCAAGTCTGCCTCCAGGATTCACCGCCATCCCTTCCATCTCTCTTCCTGCTGCTCCGGTGGGCGGGATGGCTCCCGCTGCAGGGAGGGGTGATGTGCCTCCATAGAGCCCATTCCAGAAATTAATCTTTCCGGATTTGCCTTATGTTTTACACGCGTCTTGTTCTCTCCTATGCAAAATGAGCAGTAATAAAAGCCACGTGGAAGTTACTTCACCGGAGTAAAGCTATTCATGGACGATGTCTTTTCACGGTGTTGTTGCTGAAATAATTTAAACGGGTCACTTAATACCTTTGAGGCTTGTGCCATGAAATAAGTCTCACTCTGACACGCACAAGGAGTAAGATAGAGTAAAACGGAGGGGAAACCTACAAATCCCGATCGATGGCTGGGGTGCAGGTAGCAAGGGGACCCGAGCCGGCGGGATGTGCTCACTCCCGCAGTGCGGGTTCGGGAAAGGCAAGACCTCGTTTTCCAGTTATTTCGAGACAAACAGACGAGGTGCTGACAGCAGGCAGCCGCGGGCATCCATCGCTATTGAGCGGCCTCACCCAGGTGTTTGCCGGTCCGAGCCAAGGTAACGATTTCCTCCGCGCTCTTTGAACGGGGCATCCATCCCAGCGCGGCCCCTGCGCGCCCTCCCCACCGCCCGAGCCGTGCGCCCCTCTCGTCCCCGCCTTTCGCTTCCTTCTCTCCCCTTCCTCCTCTGCCTCTTCACAACAACTTGTCTCTTCACCACCCCTACACTTTTCTCCTTCTTCCTTAACTTCACAGCCCTACAGAGGCAGGATTCTCTCTGGCCCGTCCCTCATCCTGCAGCTTCAGCATGTAGCAGGTCGCCAGTCAGAAACAGGCTCCTTCTCATTAATTCCTCCACTCCAATTAAGGGGGGAGCCAGCCGCCAGGATGGAGGATCACCTCCGCCCCCTGTATTCAGGAAGGAGCTGGCAAATCTTACGCAGCTTCCAGGAAAAGAGAGAAAACCCCACGGTATATTTGTTTTTCCCGAGCTCCTCGAAGGTTTCTCTGCTGGGGAGCCAGGATGGCCCGTTAGCGCTGAGCTGGCTCCTTGCCACGTCCCCCACCCGGAGGGAAATCTGAGTGACGGGTTTCTTTATTCAAGACTGAATCTGCACTGCCCGCCTATGATTTAAGTTGCTTATTAATCTAAGTTTACGGCTCTAATTATTCTTCTCCTAAAAGGGAAAATAACCCGACCCCAGCGGGTTAATGAACAGCTCACGGGCATTGCAGGTTAACCTCCCTCGGGAAGGAGGTTCTTCACGGCGCGCTGAGCTCCTCTATATGTTTCAGGTGGAAACCCCGCGCTGCTGGGCTCTGTCTGCTCATGGTTTATAATTAAACGTTTTCACTTGTCTACCTGAACCGGCTTTTTCAAATCCTGTCACATGAGACGATCCTTTGTGCTGCCCAGATGTTTTCAGTACTTTCAAGTCGGAGACTATTTCTAAACGTTGCCAATCCCAGCCTCTCCCAAATCGACGGCCTCTCCTGATGCCTCTTAAATACTGTTTTCAAAGATTATAAGAGAAAGCCCCTCCACTAATTTTCCCTCCCCCCGTCTATTCGCTTTAACATCCAATTTCCTTTTATCGAGGGGGCAAACTGTGATTTCTTGCACTTGACCTACCGCAGAAAATTCTGCAAATCCTTTGATTGTCTATTTAAAACAAAACAAGGAAATCAGCTCTCCCTTTTGCTCCAGGATTACGCTTGGAAACAAGATCTAAAGATTCTCTTGTAATTTGGAGAGCCAACAGCATAATAGCTTTGGAATAGAAACAAGCAGCTTTGTGAGAAGAAGGATAACTAAATCGTTTTTAGGCAAAGGATTTTCCCAGCTAAAGTGACCCAAGACAAAGCAAAACATAATCTATTTTGGAAGATTTCCAAGTTATGCCACATTAACCTTAGCAGATAAAATTTGCTTTCTTCCCTGCGGCCCCTCCCCCACCGCGGTCTGGTTTATCATATTTACATAAGTAGCCTTAGAAGGGATGTATCTATTATGGATCTAAGGAGCTAGCGAGATCACATTTCATTTGGAAATAGAGGGGAAGTTTTACTCTTGCTTAATACTTGATGCATTGTAGAACCATTTCCATTTAAATACCCCCGACCCACGGATTACCTCCATGGACTGGCTGCATGGGTTTTGTAATTTCCTGAAAATGAGATTTCGATTTATAAAACAAGAAACCAATTAGTAACCAAATGAGGCGAAGTAGATCCACTAAAATTGACCTAATCCCACAGGCACCGTTTAGGTCAGTTCTTGGCGAATGAATGATGAGCAACCGTCTAACATAAGCTCAAGGCATCACCCAGCTGTGTTATTCAAGCAGAAAAATAATTTTTTTAAAAAATGGATCGAGCTTTTATTTCAGAATGAATTTGATACTCTTGCCAAAATATGGATTATATGCTCCTGCCTAACAAACTCTTCCTCCTATCTAACAATCTCTTTCACTCGATGAACTTTTTTTCCTGAGAAGAGAAACTATTTGTGCCACGAGATATTGTCTGCTCTTGTGAGGGGGAAGGGAAATGGAAAAAAAGAAAATAAGTAACAAAGATTTTTTTTTTTAAGAGAAGAAAAGAAAAGCATTTTATCCAGACTATCACTCATCGTTACCCAACAGCCTTCACCTATAGTGCGCGGAACCTGCGCGGAGTGAGCGTGCTGATTCATCGTTTCTCTCAGCACTCTCCAGTGGAAAGCCACTGTGCTTTCCACATCAAAGAGCATGTCCATCGGTTTCATGGGCTCTCTACAAAGGCGGGTCCCTGTGGAATGCCTTCTCCCACCCAGCCGCGCCCACCGCCGGCACTGAGCGAGCCGCTCCGCACCGCCAGCCTGTCCCCCGGGCCGGGCGCACAGCCAGACCTGCCGCGCTGCACTGCCCCGCTCCCGTCCTTCCTTCCCCTCATCTTTTGATTGATTCAAGCCTTGATGCCGACAGCCAATGGAACCAGGGGCTGGGTGGGCACCGTCCCTATCCAGTGGCGATACTGTTTCAAGAAGCTCCTCTGTCCCATGGAAGGGGGAAGAGATTCCTGAATCGTTTCTGATTTGATCTAGTCAAAGACGGAGAAAGGCAGACGCAGGGAAATGAGACTCCGAGAAGCCAGGGCAGCTCCTTGGCCCTGGTTGATCTCCGGGTTACTTGTCCCTCTGTGAGCATCTGCAGCGCAGAGCCCATCTCGACCCCGTCCTTTGTCTGGCGATAGCAAAGGGGGGCGGGGGTGGGGTGGCCAGAAGATGCAAGCCCTTATCTACTTTGCGCTGATTTGCCGGCTTTTTAAAGCAGTTACGGCGATTTCCCCAGCGGGCTCGCAGTCATGAAACCTCAGCGCAATCCGGATTCACTGTAGCAGGCGACTTGACGCCCCCGTTTAAAAACACCCAGTGGAGAGCCCACCCTGAGCTCCAGACCCACTTCTTTGGGGGCCAGACTCTGAGGCCAGCTCCCTGCGGGGCCTCTCCGGGGTTTGCCCCTGTCTGGCGCACCGCCCCGCACGGCCGGGCGAGGCCCAGGGGAGCTGGCTTGGAGGCGAAGCCCCGGAGGCAGGGAGTTCTTTCCTGCTGCTGTGGATGGGCAGAGGGAGAGGCTTGGGGGACTCTCCCGGAGGTAGCCCGCTGCTGTGCGGCAACGCTGCCCGACGGGCCAGCCGCAGGGAGTCTTCCCTAAGTGGGTCCCAGCAGGTCCATCGCGGGTTTCTCTTCCAGGAGTTCCTCAAAACTCCCTCTCTGGGCAGCGGCCCCTGCCGCCGCTTTCCCAGGTCTCTCCGCCGCCTCCCGGGGGCCGTGGCCCGGGGCCGTCTCCGTACGCTTTGGTTTCGCTGCGTTTTCTTTGCCCTTATAAGAGCCGCTGTATGGTTATTAAAAAAGGAGGAGCAGCAGCTCACCCCTCGCCCGCCGGCGCCGAGGGAATGCTGACCCCACAAAGGGCGCGGGATGCGGGACCCCCGGTCACCTCCGCCCCGGGGGTCGCCCCTTCCGTGCTGGGCAGGACGGCGACGAAGGTCGGCCCGGGCACGGGCACCGGCTCCGTTCAACCTGCCCAGCAAAGCCTCTCTACAGGGGGGACGAGAATGTCACCTTGTGAGCGGCTCCTCAGGCAGCACCATTCCTGCCTCCCACTGCCCCTCGGCACTGCTGCCTCCTTAATACCAAGGGACAAGCGGGGCACAGGAGTTGCCTGGGAAGAGGGAGACAGGACAGCTCAATCCCCATCTCCCGAGCGGTCATTCTCCCTCTCTGTCCAGGGGAAATGACAAACAACAGCTCCGGGAGTCGGGGGAGCAGAACCTGCACGTCCTAGTCACCGACAAGCCAAAAGGCAACTGGGTGTTGTATCGAGGAATTAGCTTGATTCGATTAACCATTTAATTAAATCGTCTGCCGCCAGCGCTCCGTTCTGCCATCGCCTAACGCCAGACAGAGCTGATTTCCCAGTTAATTTAACAGGCAGTGGTTAATGATAACTCAAAATCTCGGCCAAATGAGGCTTCTGTGAAGGACTGGGTCGCCGTCGGAGGGTTCAGATGGAATAGAATAAGCTATGCTTAAAAAAAAAAAAAAAAAAAAAGCTGCTGATTTCCACTGCCTGCGGATGCCATTAGCAAGGTTTTGTAAAGATTTATTATCTCGGTAAATCACATGTATTCATTTGAAGTAGAGATAAATTAGCATCCCTATTTCTGTATAAAAATAATAATAATAGGGAGGAAAAGCCCTGTTGACTAAACAAACATCCCTATTAAGAAAATGGTTGTGGAAATAATGCTGAGGCTGTTTCACCGTAGAAAGAAAAAACAGGATTTTGGCAAACACGAGGTAGCGGAATTGCGCTTTGAAATGCAAACAAACGGAACCATGTCCAAATTTGAGAGAGGGGGAAAAAATCAGGGCATTTTTGAGCACCAACTACTTATTCATTTCTCCAGAAGACTCAAATTCAAGTAGCCCTTATTTCGAAGAAATAGGGGAAGGAAGGATTTGCGCCAACGCACACGCAGTTTATATGCAAGTTGAAAAATATTCTCCAACGTGAAAATGGTTGTATGTTTCCAAAGGAAATACGATTTTTCCCCCGCTCTTCTCATTAAGTATTCCTTCTAAAACATAAATCTGTGGGGTTTTTTTTCAACGATCCTGCTAGTAGTTTAGTTCTGCTCTTTACATTTTAAGTTCACATCAAAACTGGAATTAAACAGAGATTCAGCGTGGAGAGTAAACTGCTGCTTAAATGAGAAAAACTTCTGTAAGAAAATAAACATTGAAACCTAATGCTCAATCATTTCCCTTTGCAGCAAGAAAAACAGCATTAAATCACCTATCCACGTGGGAAACGGATTTTTTTTTTTCTGTTGATCTCTTCCCCCTTTAAAATAAAACAAGGTTAAGGGTTTCAATATTGAAATGTTAACCATCCTGATTCGGCGAAAGTTTATGTAAACGGAGTCTCTGCTTTTGTCTCGAAAAGCAAACGCCTCTCTGCGCCAAAACGATCCCTTCCCACTAGCACAGACTGCAAACCCTCCTTTTGCATCTCTGGTTGCGGATGGAGAATAGGACCTTAAAAATATTCCTAACTAAAAAGAAAAACAAAACCCAAACAAAAATTATTTATTGTGCCACCTGTGTTTTTTGTTTGGGTTTTATTAATTTTTTTTTTCTCCCTTCCCTTCTGGATACTGCCGAAGGTCAGTGAAGAATTACCCCGCTACAGTAACGGTGATCGCATCGTTTTTGGTGGAAAAATCTTTCAGTCCTTTGACACCCTGGAGATTTTTCTACCTATTTTTTGCATTACTTACATTAGCGATTTAAATTAAAATATTAGTATTTATTTATAATGAACGTCAAATCAGGAGTTAATTAATTAATTCTGCTTGAAAAAAAAACAAACAAACAACCCTTAAAACTCTTCCTTAATGTCCTCAGAAAATTAGCAGATATTCACTCTTTCCAAAGCTGTCTGATCACCGAAAAGCAGTATAGGTCTTATACGCTTTCTCCTCCTGAAAAGAAGTGTTTTAGTAATGAAACGATGCAAGAAACCTACATCTTGGACTTTCGTCCTTGGCAGGTTTAATCTGCTGAAGACATAATGAATTGAAATTAGGGGCAGAAAGAGCAACCCTAGCGTTTCAATAACTTGTGAGAATTGCACAAAAATTACGAGAGAGAAGCCCGTAGAAAAATTTCTGTCCGGTTTGTCAAGTTTGTCCAGTGCAACTGCCTTATGTTTAGATGTCTGGGGGTAAGCAGGAAACCCCACGTGCTTATTTTGTGTGTGATTCTCCTGGCGTTTCACTCCCAGAAAACTCTTGTTTCCAAAATGAACCCGAAATCTACCCACCTTCTTTCTCTATAGGGACCTTTCAGACACAAAAATATGCAGACAAGCGCACACCGATTCTCTCCGCCCTGTCCCCAGCCCCGCGTGTGCGCGGCGATGAGGAGTGTATATCTTTCTGTACGTGATTATTTACAACCAACTCTATGTAAGCACTCTATGGGCAGATGGAAATTCGCTCTTCTACCAGGGAGAGGGGATATGAGTTACTCTGAAAGTGCAGCTCGCTCTTACGGAGACAACGTTTCTCTACCCTGACTCCTCCAAGATCTCTTTAAATGTACGACATGACATTCCGCCGGGCTCCCGAGCCTCCTACTAACCTTCTCCAGTGTTTTGGCCAACTCATCGGGTCTGTCCCTATGCATGTATCGCTTTCCTCCCCAGGGAAATACAAGCGAAAGGAACCCCAGCACATCCATCCAACATCCCTGCCCTGCCTCCTCCGTTCAGAAAGAATTGTCTTTTCCGTGCGTCATTTCCCTGGCTGCCACTACCTGTTCTCCTTTCCCAGAGAAGAGATGGCTTTTTTTTTTTTTTTTTCCCTGGGTAGAGGCACTGGAAAACCAGAATAGCCCCTCGCTTCCTTGCCTCCCTACACTCGCACCAGCCGGACAAGCACAAGCACACCCGCAGCGGGAGCCCAAGCTGCTCCGCCGCGTTCCCGGAGCCCACTGCGTCCCCCGGGGTCCCGGGAAAAATCACCCGGGCTCGGCTCCCGCACGGCCAGGCACAGCGTGGGCGCCTCGCTCGTGTTTAACAGCGGCACGGGCGGGCGCAGGGAAACCCGCGGGGCCGGGGCCGAGCCGGGCCCCGCTCTCCGCTCCCCGCCTCCTCGGAAGTACGTGGGAGGGAGAGGGAGCCGACGTGGGACCGCAGGGAAGCCTCCCGGCTCCACGCCACGTTGCGACTCCCGCTCTCGGGCCTTTGTGCCCCGCTCGCAGCGCGGCCCTGCGCAAGGATGCGCGGCCCCGGGGATGCGGGCGCGGCGGTCCCGCGTGGGTCTGCAGCCCGCTCGGCGCTGGGCCGCCCGCGGCAGCGCCTCGGAGGGGCGAGCCCTTCCGAGCCTGCTCCCTGCCTTTCTTTCTAATGCGCAGTTTGCCTTTAATGAGGCTGCGAAGGCTCCGCTGCCCCCCGAGCCCCGCTCAGCCGCCCCCGCTGCCTCCGCACTCAAATTAGCATCTGCTGCGGCCGGCAGCGGCCCCGGCCCCGGCGCGCTTCGCCACACGGTTCCCCAGGGCATTCAGGCATCCTGCGCTGCCACCGAGGGACGGGGATCAGCTATTCTTCTCTTCCCATGATTACTCACAGCCTACAAGCAACACCATATGCTTCTTCTGATCAAACAACCCGCTACATAGGCACCAGTAATTGACGAGACCTGCTCGAAATCACGCAGAAAGGTAGCCTACTGAGACCGCAGGAGTTGACAAATCATTGCTAATAATCCTTTTAGGAACATCATGGGCATCAGGGTTTGCAATAGCTTTATTTTTATAAAGTATGCGCTGACAGCATAAAGGACAACTCCGTCTGCTTTGAAACAGAGGATTGTCCCGCATAATGATCTTCAAGGTGGCAGAGCAAATAGAAGAAGAAAGTGGATTGATGAAGACTTTAATTATTATTTTTAAAGGTTTCGTTTAACCCTTTCTTTGGTTATAAGTGACTCAATGATATGGAAAGTTATTTCAAGAAATCATTGTAAAATGCACTGGATTGAAAATTACTGCCGCGGACTTTAGGTATAAAGGTTCATCTGTAACCTGGGGCGGGGAAGGGGGTGTGAGATTACCTCCCCCATCCAAATGACTGCCACATTGCATATTTATTTTAAAAAGTAGAATTAGTACCAGTAGTCCACACATTTAACCGGGGGAAAAAAATTAAAAACCCCTCAACCCACCAAATCAGACAAAACTAGAGCAAAACAAAACTAGGCCATATACACGCTCTTAATTTATAAAAAATATAGGCCAACCGAGTCGAGATACAGCTACAGAAAACTCATGGGGACATATTATGTTGTTTTCTATGTACGCTCGCTTTTCAACAAAAGATGCAGCGAATTTTGTATTAGGTCAGGGAAAAAAAAAAACCCAAAAACCTCTTGATACCTTTTCTTTCACACAGACCACAACTCCATCGAGTTGATCTAAATAAAAGGTTCGTGATTTTTTTTCCCCCCCTACGTCTTATAAAATCAATAGAGTGAGAACACGGAAGAACTTTATTCTGACTCTCTTAACTTTGTTCTGTTTGTTTTTCTTGGCAGCCGATCTAGAAGACCAAAGACGATCGCTTTAGATCCTGGTACTATTTAAAAGCGAGACACTTCAGGACGCTTAAGTTTTCTTTTGCTAGACAGGCGGGCTGTTGCTGCTGTGGAAGTCAACGTGAAGTTTACTGTTGCCTGTCGAGGAGAGTCATGTCTGGGCTGGGCCACTGGTTTTGCAGCACTGGGTGGTCAGGGCGATTGAATACGTCTGGGTGCAAAACTTCTGCTAAAATTTTTCGAGGTCGATTAACGCCCTCAAAGTGCCCTAGTGATCCTCAGAACGAGACACAACGCACTCACACACATGATGTGATTCAGTGTGCTCGACTTATTTATTTAGCCTGGGTGTGAGCACGCCTGCACGCGTGTCCTGTACCTGTACACCGCACCTTTCCTCGAGAGCTGAACTAAGGCTTTAGGACTTTGCATAGACTTATGTAAATATTTACCCATATACTAACTCGCTCTCGCAGAATTACTATAAATAGGGGTGAATCATGCCCTCTTAGGCCTCGCGTGTGCTTGGTGGGGGATGAACATTTGACTGGAAGACTGGGGGAAAAGAAAACCCGGGTTTGCTGTAGCAGAACACGCAGCAGAGCTCAGTGCTTTCAAGTGTTGACAAAAGCACCATAAGTCTCCAACCAAACCTGTCATAGGAGCTAAAGGGAAAGTATTTACAACAGAGGGAAGTGACAGCGGAGGGCACCCTGTCTCCAAGCACACCCCGAAGGATTGACCTTTTTCTTTTTTTTTTTTTCTTTTCTTTTTTTTCCCTTTTTTTTTTTTTTTTTTTTTACCTTAAAAGTGATAAATGACATCTGGATCAGAACGAAAATAGAGACGAATAGGCATTCCCACCTACCTTCTGGAAAAACCACTCTCATTTTTAAATAGCTGGTAGTGAGTCTGATTATGGATGCTTTGTCCAGCTGAGAGGTGATAGCGGAGGGCAGGGGTAGTAATTTAGCCAGTTCATAAAATTCACTGTTTTCTTTCTCCCGTCTAGTCCGGGCAGCATTTTTGGACTTCTCTTTCATCGTGTTTTTTTCCCGCTTCCTTGCTACAATTTAAACTCCAGAGATTCATCCAAAGGTGGAAGGGAAACTCATCTGCAATTCATCTCTCCGGAGCATCAGGCTGTGATTCTGAGCGCGGCCATTACTCAGAAAAACCGTTCTGTTGTGTAAATGCAAACAAGAATTGAAGAGTAAAGATGTTCTTTAAAAAAAAGAAAAAAAAAGAAAAAAAAAGTAAATATACTCTGAAAAGCAGAGTCAATTAGATGGGGAAGGCATTTATCCAATGCAGGTCAGCACTCCAAGCAACTGCATTAAAAAAAAAAAAAAAAAAAAAAAAAAAGCTAGAAGATTGAGGCACCAGACAGCAACCAAACGATGTATTTCTGGCCTTTTTTCCTACTCATGGCGGGCAGCATAGCTCCTCGGAAGAGGGTCATAGTAATCCCGTTTTTTCCCGTGATCCGTTGTCAATCCGAGGGCCGGAACGCACGGCCGCGGGCTGCCCCCCAGGATGCTGGGTGACTTCCCCGGAGCCTCTCTCTGTGAAGACAAGAGCAGTCCTGGAGTGAGAGAGCCGGTACACGGCGCCGCAGCGGAGCCGCGAGAAATAATAATCAACAACCAGCCGCCGGTGGGTGTAGTATTTTCTCCCACCAGAGGGGAAAGAAAAAAAAAAAAAAAAAAGTGTATTTTCCCATCTAGCGCGCCCGTGGAGAAGCCTGCCCCGCACTCTCCTCCCACAGCCCTCTCACTTCCCAGCCCAGGTGTGCCCTGCATGGCCGGAACGAAAGCGCAGCAGAGAGCAGCAGCCCCCGGCTCCCGGCGTTAGCGGGTTTGGGGCTGCCGGGGCTGCGCCGGCCCCTTCGCGCTCCCGCGGGCCGGCACCGCGGCGGCGGCCAGACCTCCCCGCCTTCCGCGCTGCCAGACCCTCAGTGAAGGACACATTTCCAATCACGGAGTATTTCTGCTTGTTTTCCCCTTTTCTTTTTTCTTTTTTTTTCCTTTCTTTCTTTTTTCTTTCTGTCTTTCTTTTGAATTTCTCCTCTTCTCGGCTACTGTCCTCATTCCTCAGCTGGGATCGGGGGTGTCTACCTCAGCTGCACCCCAGCCAAGGGAGGCACGCTTTGCCCAGCCCTGCCCCGAGCCGGAATCCACCCAAACATCACATTTTTCCAACCAAATTATCTTTTTTTTTTTTTTTTTTCCTCCTCATTTTTCACCGTGGGGAAGCGACCCACAGCCTAGCACCGCACATCGCTGCGGTTCTTCGCTGAGGCTAGCAGATTGTGGTGGGTTGTGATCTTCTTTTCACCTACCTTGAATCCCTGAGCCCGGCAGCCTGCAGAGAGCTCTCCCGGGGTGAGGAGCCCAACTCTTTAATTGGCTCATTAATGGCACGGGGAAAAGTTTGCGCCTGTCACTGCTCCTCGCACCGATGGGCAGACAGACATTGCCGCCTCCCCATCCCCTTTATCGGCTCCCAGGCTCTCCGTCTCACATAACGAGGGGTGGGGTGGGGTAGGGTGGGGTGGGGGGGCGAAGTTGGTATTAATGAAGAATCCCTAATTTGCGGCTGAGAAATGCCTAATAACTTCTTGATGGCTAAAAGCCTTTTAGCACAACTTCATTTCTCTCCAACTCCCCCCTTGGCCCCCCTCCCTCCCACCCGGCCGAGCCCGCCCCTAACGCCACTCACGGACCCGCCTCGCGTCCCGTTGGCCGCCGCCACCCCTGGGCCGGCCCCCACTGGCGGAGGGGGCGGTGGCGTCAGGCGGACACATTCCCACCCCTCTCCCGCCTCCCCTCTTTCCCTGTGTCCGCCCTCTGACCTGGCGGCGCCGCCGGGGGGAGTGGGGACACACAGACCCCCACGGGCACACACAGACACACACAGACATCTTTCTCCCCGCGTACCTGTTGGGGGATTATTTGCGTTGGGCTGGGTACATTTTGGCCATCGCCTCTCCGCCGGGCAGCGGGGGTGAGCGGCCGAAGTCCCGCAGGACTGCGGGTGGTGAGGATCGCCGCAGTTTTACACACCCACGCACATTTCCCCACCCCAAAGCCCACCGAGCAAGTGGTCGCGCTTGGGAGAAATAAGCTGCGGTCACGTCCCCTGCTGCCCCCCTCCCTGACACCCCCAACTTTAACCATGGACGGTTTTCCCCTGGGCTGATGCGCTGCGGGACAGCGTGAATCGGGTCCCGCGGCGGAGGGGAGAAGGATGGAGAAAGATTTTAATTAATTTTCTCGATACAGAGAAAAAAACAAAACAAAACAAAACAAAAAAAAAAAAAAAAAAAAACCCAAACCAAAACAATAGACAATCCCACGAACAGGGAAGAGGAAAAAAAAAAAAAAAGGGAGAAACTCAAACCCAAATCCTCCTACATTAGGAGACAGAGCTGCTTTAAAACTGCCCACAAAGTGGACGTGGGGTCCTTTTTTTCCCGGGGAGCGGGACCACTCCTAATCTCGTGTGTCCCCTGGGGAAAATAACTCTAAAAACATGACGCTGCTCCTTAAACTGCTGGCTCCTGAACAGAGTAGATAGAGCAGAGAGAGAGTGGTGGGAGAAGGGTTGTAGAGTCATTTCAAAACCATAGCAGACTCTCAAAACCCTGACATAATTGCCAAACCAGTCGGTGCGAGACTTCGGCTAAAATAACTGTTTAAAATGAGATTGCACTGGCAGGCAACAGTCGGAGTATTTCGAGGAAGAAGAAACGGTCTCGGTTTTCTAAAGAAAAACATCAACCCAAGAAAAAAAAAAAATTTAAAAAATTAGCCTTTGAGGCATCTCATCCCTTTTGCTCCTTGGCCGGCTCTAGTTCGAAACGCAGGCTTGCAGTGCAGACCGTCTGTTCGCTGCTTATCACCTTAAATCTCCCCTCGGTTAAAAGCTTTCCCTGAGTTCATTTGGGTAAATAAAGGAAAGACGGAAAGAGTGGCATTCAACAACTCCTCTGGGTGTCCAGGCGTCTACAAGCATCAGAGAAATGTATCCACGTAGTCTCAAATGTTCTTTTGATTGTCTTGTTTACCGAAGCGACTCGTCGTTAAACAAACACGAACGCAAGGCATTTAGTGAAGGTAAGGGTAAAAAAAAAAAAAAAAAAAAGGAAAAGAGCGCGCCCTTCCCCACACCCTGTCATGTTGTAAAGCGATCGCTGCGGTGGGGGAAGGTGATATTGAATTTACAAAAGTCTTCCCTGTATGTTACAGCCCTCAGGTGTAACGTCGCTTTGGGCTTTGGGGGACAAGAAAAGGATTAAAAAAAAAAATCTTCCTTCTGGTTTTCATTTGAGGGAATTCTCTTTATAAACGGCACTGACGTCTCTAGGAGGGTATTTAGACATATGGGCAACAACTGGACTAACACTGTCAGGTAGCTCACGACTTATTTGTCAACAAGAGCCAGAGAGAATGTCTTCTATAACATCCTGGGAAAAAATAAATAAATCGGTAGGATACACTTCTGCTAATTTATACCAGGGAACGTGAGCATCCACCTTACCAACCCCACACAGCCCCATCGAAGCCCGTAGCTCACCGAGGATCCTTTCCCTCCAGCCCGGGTGGGTGACAGAGACCGCACCGGTTCTCCCCGTGGCCGGGCCCGAGGGCTCGGGCTCGACGAGCCCCTATGTAGATTTTGAATGTGTAAATGCTACGGTAGATAAAGTACAAGATGTGAAAGGACTAGCGGCTGAAGGGCAGTCACTCAGCTCTGGAAGTTACAGCAATCGTGGACAAAGTCACCTCTCCACAGAACCACCAGCGCGGGGTCAGTACGCTGGGGATATTTCCCAGCAGATATCAAGAGGCAGTTCCCGAATGATGGGAGAATTTGGCCGTTTCAGAGATATTAACCTTGTTTTCCTTCGTCAAAAACAAGTGACTACTGCAAGCGAAGATCAGACTTGGCACTGCCCCTTTCCAGGTGTACAGGCAAAGGCAGCGCGCAGCAGCTAAATTCGTGGTTTTCCTATCAGCCGAGAGCCCGCTGTCACCGAGCCCGGTGAAGCCCGTCTATCCTGAAAGAAGGGTGCACGATGCTGCCGAACAAATGAAGCGGAGGCAGCCCTGCGCGATGCCCGCACCCGGCGCACCAGCCGCGGGAGCGGAGCTGAGGGCAGAGAGCGCACCCGCGGCGCGGGCACCTGCGGGCCGAGGGGCCGGACCCGGGGGCGCACGGCAGCTCCGGCCGCTCCAGGCGGGAGAGAGCCGCTCCGGCCGCCTGAAGCTGTGGAGCTGGGCTGGGCTGTGCTCAGCTCACACGCAGTTATTCTCGGGCGAGAATCTCCTGAAAAAAGAGATAATACTGGAAAATTGAATAAACAGGTACTGCAGTGCAATTTGATTTTAAAAGGCGCATAATAAAATGGTGTATCTGAAGAAAGGCTGAGCGAAAACAAAGCGTTTCAGAGACAGGTTTCCAACTATAGTAGAAAACTTGTGTAGGCAGACACAATATGCAGCGTGTATTGCAGCATGTGTGCGTGAGCGTGTGTATGTGTGTGCAGAGGGGGAGGGGGGAAAACTGTACAAATCAAAGCAAGGGAAAAAAAAAAAGAAAAACCCTACCGGACCATTTCCCTATAGGACAGATCAGATCCAGTTTCTTCTTCAGCATATTCGGGCGTACTCTGATGTATTTATTAGATTATGGATTCGGACGGGTTTATTAATCTCCCTTAAAGAATAAGGTGGCCATTTCTTATGCAGGGAGAAAAATCTCTTCGAACGTAAGCCATCACTTACACACCGCTTTCGTTGGTGAATTAACGATGCGGGTTGCTCTCCCGATTTCTTAAAAAAAAAAACAAAAAACAAAAAACAAACAAATGAAAATTCGGCCTGGTATTAGTTACGGGCATATTTCCACACTCCAAGCCTCCCTCATTTTTGCACCGGCGAGAAGTGGGATCCCACCTCGCAAGGAGCCTCACGGCCGAAGGGAGCGCCCCGCCATGCATCGCCTCTGCCTGGGATGCGGCTCACTCGCCCAGCCCCGG